CAGATGGCACTGATGTTAGCCATATGCTTCAAAAGTTTTGCTCATTCAAAATTCTCCGTCAGCTTTTGCAACATTTACCCACACTGACATCTGACATAATAAGAGTGAATAAAAGGTGACTGTAAAGTGTGAGAATGTGGAAATGGGATCAAGATGGAAAGAATATCTGTTGTGTGTGTCCACAAAGGGAACATAGCCTTTGCTTTTGCTCAATGGAAACTAAACTTGATGCACAGCTGCTATCTTATAAAAGGGTGTGTCTCACAAAAGCATTCCTACTACATTTTTAACCTTTTTTCCCCATGTATTTAAGCAAACATTTGTCCTGCCCCAGTACACATATTTTGTATAAGCAGCTGTCGAGCTCAGAATATGTCTACTAAATGTGTACTGCATCGTATTATAAAGTGTATCGTATTATAAAGTGTTTCATTGTCCAATCAGGAAGTGTGACTTAGCATGCAAGTTGTTTGCTTTACCGCAACAAACTGAAAAAAGTGATCAAAACTCAAGGTCAGGAGTAACTTTGGACCACTACAAATGTATTTAAAATTAACTAGATCTGTTTTTCTAGTTTAAGATGGTAGACAGTATGTGATAATCATATACATCATCTAGCATATAATTTTCTGTTTTCTCAAAAGTCTTGAGAAATGACAAATAAACTACCAGGTCAAGAAGATGACTAAGGGGGTTTGTGTTTTTGGCTGTACAAATATTTGATTGATCAAGGATGGAGCCAGTGACAAATATTTGGCCAAAAATGACTTTAAGCCGTCAATATTTTTCCACTATATTCCATCTGGCACAGGTGTTCAGTTGTTTACAGACTACAGCGTTACCTTGCATATTCTGCAGCACAGCGCTGGAGCACAAGTTCAGAATGAGTCTAAAAAGTGTGACAGGTTTATTTTGGGCAGCCTGAGGTTTCACACGTCTGTGTGCATGTCTCGGCCCTCGACAAGTGGCAAATTTGAGCTGTCATGTAAACAGTATGCCACTCGCACTTTAAATGAAATGGCTGAAGTTGATACCAAGTACTTCTCTTGACTGCAACTGGCACTGCTTTTTTTTTTCAAGAGGGAGCAAGCATCCACAGCCAAAACACTGAATTGAGTAGATCTAGAAAAATAGAAATCACTTTTGTTACTGTATTTTATTGATTATTAAAGGTGCACTGTGTAACTTTTCTGGTGGAGAGTCTGCCTACATTTTTATCTCCATGATCATTTAATTGCTTTGCTTGGAATGTTTCACAGTATGGTACTAAACTCAACTATCTCCATGGAAACAAGCAGGAGATGCCACCAGACCAAGATACTGGTCAGATCTATGTTGTGCATGTTCTTTGAGCAATAAAAACAATAGATAAGTTTAATGCCACACTGTGAAACATTTCAGACAAGGTAATACCATCTCCAGGGAGACAAGCAGGTAGCGGACTCTCTACCTGAAAAGTTACACAATGCACTTTCAGAAAAATGATTTTAAGGGGGCAGCATGTATCTTTCTGACATCTATGGAGATGTTAACGTTTTGCCTGGAAGGTCCCACAAAGTCACATAAACTTGGAGACAAATTAGGTCTATGGAGAGGCAAAATGGTTCCTTCATTTTTTGATAGGGAATTAGATGAGATTGTTGTTCAATTGCTATGACTATCCACTACCCACATTTAAAAGGTGCACTATATAACTTTTCTGGTGTTGGCATTGCTGGAATGTTCCACAGCATAACACTAAACTTATATCTCCATGGTGACAAACAAGTTTCAGATCAGACCCAACTTACATTACGAAGACATGTTTATACGATATTTTGGTATAAAGTAATGTTGGAACAAAAAGAAACTGAACAGATGCAAGACAGATAATGTACGCCATACTGCGGAACATTTTAGGCAAAGCAATAGTGTCTCCATGGAGACAAGGAGCAGAACCCACACTGAAAAAGCTACATAATACACCTTTAACCTTTTCCATAGAATATCAATATTATTATTACATTATTATAAAAACAATTTTAAGGGTGCAGCATGTATCTTTCTGACATCTATGGAGATGTTACTGCTTTGCCTGGAGTGTCACATAAATTTGGAGACAAATCAGATCTGTGGAGAAGCGAATCTGGTCACAATAAGAATGTATGTTCCTTAGCTTTAAAAATAATTCACTTAAATGCAAGATAGGCACAGGTAAGTCATTAAATAAGCATGAATCTGCAACAACTGAAGTGCTAAAACATCAAACCTGGCCTAGATATAGTGTAGCTATCCCAATGCGTTTGTTCTCAGCATGTAACATTGTACTTATCAAAGCATATGTAGAACAAATGAGTCATGTGGTGAAAACAGAAAGCTGAATTATCTCCTGAGAAATGGATGCTATTCTAAACACCTACGTCCTTGAAATAGCTGTCATTTTGTCATGTTTCGTGTTTAATTTGTTTCCCCGTTACACCATAAACCCCAGGTGTTTCAGCTCTGGTGCAAGTGGGAGTGTTTTCGGTTCAGACATGCATTTCATTTGACACGTAAAAGTGGTACAACATGAGCAAACAGCCTGGGAGATTTGCAGCCTGCTCTAGTCCAATCCCTGTAATGTGCATGTTCTAATGAAACAGGACAATCTCCATCTTTAGACAGTGAAAGCAATTACATTAGAAAGTACACTAATTCACAAATAGCCTGGCTGTACCTGTAAGCTGCGCACACAGGCTTCCCTTAAGCTCCAGAACAGCACTTTATTCAGATGACAGCAATTAAATACCCCCGTGATTTGTGCGGCAGAGGTATTACAACAGCACGATATGCGCTCCAGACGAAAATGTGAAAACAGAACTCGCTAACAAAGGAACCAGGATGTGAAAGGTTAAAGTCTACAAGTGGTTAACATGGCAGTGGTGTTCCTACGGAGGTGTCATGAAATAATGGTAGTGTTTACATGCCCATCGTAATCTGATTTCTGGAGCTATAAGATTATTGAAATGTCATGTAAACTGTTATGTCTCAAGTGAGTAATCTGATTTCTTTCTGCTCATTCACACCTGGGCAGGTTTTGACAAGGACTATTATGCAAAAGAGCAAAACTAATGAGGCAAAGATATAATTGAAAGACAAAATGTTAAAGATTTATTATTCTTAGTCTTTCAAATAGAGCAGTCACTTTAAAAATCCATTGATTAACTAATATATGTGATCAGGCATTTCGGATTAGCTTTTTTTTTTTTTTTTTTTTTTTTTTTTTTTTTAATGCATCTAAACCGTAGACTATATATAAATGGACATAGCTAACCCAATAGGAAGTGTTCATAGCAGCACTTCCAGCTCCTGGCTCCAATTTACTTTATATTGGAAAATTGTCACCCCTCTCTCTGTAACTGTCAACCTCATCATTTTGGTCTTAAAGTGTCCATATTAACCAACTCTATATGATCCTGGTGTTTTGATTTTGCTATTTTGTACGTAAATCGTGAGCTTCATTTGACTGGAGCCAAACGCTCTGGGTGACGTTACACTCTCTCCATTTCTTTACACAGTCTGTTATCTAAAACCAAAATTAGGTTATCTGATTTTTACTGGCCATGTAAACGTGCCCAGTGCATTTTGTAAACCTTATGTGCAATACTATATGTTAGATTCTATTATGTAAAGGGAGACATGTTTGGGACCACACAGACTATAATAAGACAGGAACACAAGACAACACAGGGGACCGAGGAGCACAGCCCAAATTAGAAACAAGGCGATCCGTATATGTCACATTTGTGCCTCGTCAGCATCTCTCAGACTGTCCCCGCGGCTCTCCTTCTGCCACACACAACCTGCACTACTGCACAATTGAAAAACTAGTGGCTTTGGTACAGGGCAGCGAAAACAACACAGCACCAGTTGTTTAAATGTATCTACAAGGAGTGCTTTGCTTTTCTGTAGTTTGGGTGTGCATGTTCTGATCACAAAAGCAGGTCTGGTCATAAATGTAAGTACATGTTGTATGCGACAGTGGTTCTCAAAACATTCACAGCCTGGTTATTTCTATTTGTTTACCTGATCATCTAAAATCTATAGGCTTAAGACTGAATGGAAGAAACAATTAACAAAGTAACTAAACTAAACAAAGCAGTAAAGTTATGCTTTGAATACAACTGATACTGTATATACAGATTTTTTTCATATAACTTTTACTCCGTGTACATATTTGCACACACAACCTATCAAAACTGGGACTTAACTGGGACTAAAACATGGACTAGACCAGGATGAAATCAGCTAGAACAGGAACTAACCAAGTCTAAGCACTAAACCAGGATCAAATGTGTGTAGTGTGAACAAGGACCAATGGTAAAATAAATAACTAGTAACTTGTAGATGAAGACCCTAACACAATACAACAGCCTAATTCATCTCCATAGTTCAGTATTACTTATATTATGTGTCTATTCTCCAACCTTATTCAACATCTACAGAACCAGACTCTTTTTTCCCCCATTCAAAGTCAGTATACTAGTCATTCTCACAAGTAAAAGCTAAACTTAGCAACCTAACCTTCAACCAAAGCATGTACACAAATCTAAGGACATCTCACATGCGTCAGCTCAGGCCCATTTATTCATTTTCCAAAGATGCGTTTGACTTGGTGCTATATTTAACAGCAACTGTCAAGTGTGTGTATAATGTCACGCTGATCTGTGTGAATCATCGGTGCTGTTGAGATGTGGCGGTGAATAAACAAAAACTTACCTTGGACGAATGAAAGCAGCAGTTCATAATGAAGAAATAACTTTGACAAGTGAATGTGTGTGGTGCGTAAGCCTGACAGTATTCAGTGTGATCGTATCAAACAGAGCAAGTATAAGAGGCATTGTGTGAGTGGTTCAAAACAACAGCTTGCAGGATTGAGACTTACCTTTTTGTAGAAGCTTCAGATTCAGAAATTACACAGGGGTTGACATGACAATCATTTCAAATTGAGCAAATAGTTTTGAATGTCGAAATGAAGAGGCAAAAGCAATGAACCAACTTATGAGAGCCACGATGACAGCAAGCAAATGAGTAATTCAGTCGAGGCAATGTCAAAATATGCAGTGGTGACCAAAATGATATCACTGCTTTCCCCATTACACAAACAGCAGTAAAAATAATAAAACAAAAACATGAGACCTTAAAACTGGAGTCTACTAGTTAGGTAAATGTGACTAAAGAGGTAGCCATAACTGCAGCAATCCTAAAAACTGTAAAAGTTTGAGCTTTAAAAAGTCTGTTTTACCGTTTTAGTGTCCTTGGGCACATAACCCACGAATTCTATTATGTATTACCGATTAGTTGGAGAGATTGTCAGAATGGTTGGTATGTCTTGCTTTAACCTAACAACACTAAGGATTATTATAAAGTTCGTTTGAGTGTCAAAAAGTGTAATATTTGATGGATTTTTATTCATAAATATGACACATAATTTTGGCCACCACTATATATATGCTATGAGTTTATGAAAAAGTCATTCAGTCGGTAATAAAAGCATGAAAATAATTGTAGCATGATTGTATTGCCATTTTAAGCAATGAAAAATAATTGTAAGTTTTTACCTTGAATGCTCAGCAGGGACCTGAGAAGCCAAGATTCCCCTCTCTGCCCTGAGGAGGAGAGTCAGCAAAGAGCAAAGATCAGAAGTCCACTTACCCCATGAGGGTGCACCACAGCCAGGGGGAGGGACGCCCAGTACCATCCACCCCAAAACACACAGCCATTTATGGGGACAAAATGCCGGAGATACCCCTGGGTGATGGTGGAGGTGGTGGTGCGCTATCAGAACTAGGACAACAACTAGCGTGTCCCTTTACCCACGCGAGGTTCATTTATAATCATGCACCAAGCAGAAAGGAAAAACAGGTGGCTTCAGCAATGCAAAAAGCACCTACCTTCAAACAATACAGTCGGAAATACAATTAGACAACCATTGAGGATGAGAATAGCCAACACAGTGTGGTTAGGATGGATTAAAAATAAAAGATAGTACCTTTGTTTTTACCTATAAGATTTGGTGAAATGTTCCATGAAGAAAGCAGATTCCAGACAAAAAGGAGAGGAGACACCAATAAGTGCCCAATTTAAAACAAGGGAAAGGATAGAGAAGCTGGATGGCAGCAGAGGCGAGCAATAGAAATATGAGAATGCAGGATGTTTCTTAACAACATTTGACATCCCATCTCCTCTGCAGAATTGGGATATGCACACACAAAACATTGTCTGCACAATATTAGGGAAAGTTGTGATTCCTGAGATGTTTCTTTATGGTCCTGATTCATTTTTGATTTCGAGCCTGACACACAGACTCAAAACTTAAATTCAGGTAAATTCAATGCATCTTAAGCAGTACCAAAATAAGACTAAACTGAAATTGAAAACTGAATCTGCATTTGGAAAACCATTTTGTTAGTAATTATAGCCATACATAACATAATTGGCCCTATAATTCTATAAAGATTTTGTGTTAGCCAATGTTTTAATAGTAAAAGATTTGCCACTGTATATATTGTGCAGCCCATATAGAAAATGAAGACATGCAATGGCGTCACAAAGCCAATGGGAGATCCGCTTAAAACATTCAGAGAGCCATGTCCCACAGCCTCTTTCCCATGTTAATGTAAATGTGTTTTTTAACCACATACAGTAAGTATAAGACACATCCAAATGTACCATCTAAATGAATAATTCAAGACAATGTGAGGCAAGAGAGCACAGCTATTCAGCAGAGGAGACGGATTGAAGCCAAATGAGTTTAAAATGGGGTCATATGAAAAAGTCCCTGCATGGGAGAACCAACTAGGTCGCTCAGGAAAAGAAAAAAAAAAGCTGCCGATATGAGAAGCTTCAAGCCTGGAATAACACACAAGTTGGGAGGAGACGGCGGAAAAATGGGAATAACAAGGAACAAGGAAGTTTAGCTCATACCTTGGTCGCCCATCATCAGGTGTGCCAGACCTTTAAGGAAAACAAGAGTACAGTCAGAAGAGAGCAAGGGATCATGGGAAAAAAGCTGAGGGCATCTGACTCATACAAGAGCAGATGCCAGCGTTACAGTTTGGGAGGTGCTGGGAGAGATCGGGGCAGGGGGTAGTCAAAGGGTGGGGTATACAGACATGGGTATAATGATGAGCATGTGGTCAACCTCAAAAGAGTTGCCATGCATCATCAACAACTTACTAATGACATTTACAGGCCCTTAAAAAGCCTTCTGGTCCATTCCCATTGAAGAAATACAGCAATACAGTATAGAAATAACCTTGCACAGACAACGAGCTAATGTACTAGAACACATGACTACAGTTAATTAACACGAAGTACAGAGCTTCCATTTCTCTGACCCAGATTATATGAAAAAAAAAAAAAACCAACATGGCAGAATCCACACGGTGCTTTGAGGTTGGCTGAACTTTAATAATATCTACTATTACAGAAGAGGAGCTCATTCAGGTGAGTAATGTGAGTTGTTAGTTAATGGCAATAATGAAATTCAACAGTGCGTTTAAAAGCTGATTGTAGTTTGCAATTTGTTTTTCATTAGTTTCTATGATAATATCACTGACAATTAATGGAATGGAGAAAATCAACATAATGACAAAATGTAATTGAAGATTCTGAGGGCAAATTATTCAACTATCTCTTCTACTGCAGCTACTATCTGTTTCTCCCAGTTCTGTAAACATTGCTGCTAACTTGACCAAAAAGGAATATTCAGCAGATGAATGTAAGGAGGTTTTGGTTTTAGTTTTGTTTATTTTACAGCCAACACTGCAGTATCTGGAACGCATTAACCAAAACCTTTTTCACCAAGGGAAATATTCAAAGGGCCACAGACTAGTGGTCAGTATAGTGAGCCACAGCAAAAAAGTAAAAGGGAACATTATTTTTAGGTCTATATCACAATGCAGTGTTACTTTATTTAGGTCATAGCAGTACTTTGGGCAAAAAGCCTCAGGACCAACGAAAAAATGGTCCCTGTGGGCAGATTACCTCTTTAAGGTATTTTACATTTACATCATGCCAGGTTAAGAAAGCAGCTTGTTAGATGTGACAACCATTGTAATTTAATAAAGCTGTCAAATGAAAACATCATTTATAATATTTGTCCATGTCACCGTGATGAGATGTGACACAAAGTCAACCACAAACAAGGCACTAATTAAAGTCTTAAGTCAAAACAAATACATTTTGCCAAACAACCTGCAGTTGTTGCCTGAAGTCCACTAATCATGATGTCATCTTCATGAGACAGACTTACCCTCTTTGACCTGTATGAAAACACTCTTGAAACATAAAGTCAAAGACATGAGCAGAGATATAACACCCACCTTCATTTGGGTCGTCTTCTGGAGCCGGACAGGCAGAGGGAGAGAGAGGAGACACTCATTAAGCAGCATGCACACAGTACGGGCCTCTGCATGTCGTCAGCATGCAAGGCACAACATCACATGCAAGTGACCTATTGCTCCCCCTTCAGGAGCGGCTGTGATTTATGGACTGGTCTTTTTATTCTGTCCCCTTTCTCTTGCCTGACCAGGAGTGCCGCACGGGGATGGGAGAGAATCCTGAATATTTGATTTTAACCTTGAAGATTTGTATCTGAGGTAAGAGAGGGAGGGGGATAAGAAACCATAATCTACTTGAATGTTTTATGAGATTGCTAAATGACAAGCCTTGTTGAATCACTGAGGTTTTGTCTCTTTGCAGTACTATGATTATGAATTAAGGCCTAATTATTACATTTGATACACCAAAGTTTTGAGTTTTCCTAAATTTAGGCATTGCTTTTTACTGGTTGTGATGAAATGCGCCGCAAGAAACAAAAGGTAAAATAAATAGCGAGTGTGGCAATCCCTCAGGTTACAACGCACCTAGGGGGGCTGCTGTTTCAAAAGCTCTTTTCCATTAGTTTTGTCACACAGTTTTGGGAATACTAGTGAAACTGAACTGAATTGGAGTGCAAAAACAAAACAGACTTTACAAATAAAACATTGTGTTATAATCTGAAAACCAAAGTGAGATTTGTGAAAGTGTGAAATGCTTAGATTGAAAGCTGACACAGTAAAGAAGATGGAGATTCATAGGGCTGAAGTAACAGAGAGAAATGCGCTAGCAGTACAGCAAATAAAATGGTCTGTCAGAGTGAAAAGAAACATGCAAAAACAATTGAACACCACCCAGAGGCGGACCACAATGAAAACATTTGGCTTGTCTAAATCAAACAAATGTATGAAAGAGTTGTAATCACTATTGTAACTGGAGTTGTTTTCATGCAGCAGGTAGGCGCTAACACATAAAAGTCCTACCTCTTAAAATACTTTCTTGTTCAGATTGACAGATCTCTGACCAAAACTTACCATCATCAATGGCTCCCATTCCAAACCAGACATCATGCAAAAATTATATCATTTTGTGAACAAGTTACAAAGACAGTGAGTGAGCAGTTCAATTTTCATGTAGTGTATTTGACTTAAGCACTAGTTGATATTCCACTAGGTCTGTGTCTAGTGGTGTTTGGGTTTGATGTAAATTGGAAACTTTTGATGTGGAGATAAATCAGATTCAGCAGTTGAGGGAAAAATCAATAAATAGTGCACTTTGTTCACAAAAAGTTAGTTTGATGATGAAGCAGCACACAACTGCAAAGGCATTCTGTCAAAAACAAGCATGGAGCCAACCGCATGAGGAAAACAAGACTGAGAACACCAAACTTAAAACACATTCTTAGAAAATACTCAAGTAAATAAATGATGCTTTAAAATGAATGGGTTTGGGTTTATTGTACTGCATTGTACGAATCCCTTCCCCACTGTATTATTTTATAGACTGCTTCAGCAAACCAGAGGCACTCATTTCCTTTTCTCACCATAAAGATTGATTTTGTGGAGGATGACTATCTCAACATTTATTCAGGCGTGGGACCGGCACAAAAAAAAAACTATGTATCGCTCATTTTGATAGGGTTTATTGATGTAAAAGGTGCTCTCAGACAGTCCATCCATAATTACTTTTATATGTTTTGTTTTTTTGAATGAAAATGTTTATACTCGTTTATTTCCTAAGTAAAGATGTTGTTGAAAATATGATATTCTTGTATGTATTGCAGATGGGACTAACTCACTGGATAATACAATAAAGAAAAGCTTGGGTCTAACAGCCCTATCATCTGGCAAAACCCATTAAAATAAGAATCCTATCCAACATACACACACACACGCAGGCACACACGCACACACGCACACACACACGCACACACACGTGAACACACTTTCTTTCACAAATGTACCCAGCTGGTTCCATCCTAATCCAGAGACGTTAATCCACTAAATCCCTTCTGACAAAGTGATCACGGTTCTATTGTGCTAGTAACACTACACCAAAATACACTGAGCTCGCACTCTGAGGATGTGTTAATGACAGCTACCAAAACACTTTGGGAATTACTAGAAATATTGACAATAATCATGGATGCATTTTGGCAAAGGGGAAGATGTCGTCTCAAACATAACATTAAAAAACATGGATGGAATTAATTTTTTTTTTTTTTTTTTTTTTTTTTTTTTTACGCTGAGCAATCAAATATTAAATTATGTAGTATTGTGGGGCAGAATTTAAGCATATTGGAATGGCTGGAAACTGGATAAAATTTACTCTTGTGAGCTTTAAGTGTGTTTTGTATCATCCATTGTTTGAGTAACCCTTTATTATTGGTCTGTCTACAGCTCCAAAGATCGAAATGCTCTGTTCCACCTTGTGATGTAATAAAGCAGTAGTTTTCAAATTAACAGTTTCTTTTACCTTTTGTTAAGTAGAGATTGACAATTCCAGGTCTGAAATCATCCAAATGATTCTAGCGAAGGTGAATTCAGTTTAAAAACACAGCGGAGCACTTCATGTAATATATGACATCATAAGGTGGAACAGAGAATTTGCTGTCTGAGAGAAAAACTCAACCTAAATATGCAGGGCTTGAGTGTTAAACATGTGAATGAAACAAAACACAGGCCAGGTATGTTTTTGCTGAAGAAACATTTTAACATAGATCAGAAAATAGATGAGCCCTTAAGCTATAGGGGCAGTTAAATGATTCTAGTTCGCCTTAATGATACCTATATGTAAAATAGAAGCTAAATGTTAATGGTAGATTGTATGAAAAATGTATCCCCTTAAAGTGGATCCCAGTGTGCAGGTGGTCATAATGTTGTGCTTGATCAGTTTATAATCCAGGACTAGCGTGCACATCTGACCTTCTTCTGACTCATAAACACAACCTTGACATGACCACAGATTCATACTGCAGATTAACGAATAAAACAAGGAAGCCAAAGTGTGGGAACCAGTCACATGTTTTTAAAATCTACTCAAATAGATTCAATTAGTCTGCCACAAACTGCATCTGATTGTGGAAGAAAGGTCTAGAAATAGATACAGAAATAAATTATCCCTTCCGTTTTGAGGTTTCCTGTGCTCCTGAGTCCTCTTGTCAGACGGGTTGTTCCTTTACATACTGCTGAAGAAGCTCTCCAAAATCTTTCATTTTTTAGTCCATACTCAAGGACTAAGTGTGACCATTACTGCTATTATAATAGGCTTGAAAATGATTTTTGCAGCCAGCTCTGAGAGCCTAATTGTCTGTGTAATGTAGCAGCTCTTAAACAAATGGGCCCATCGAAAGACACTTTAAAGACTTTACACTTCAAACTACAACTTGGGTATAAAATACTGTGTAGAACGGCCAAAACTAGGAAACAAATTTGACAATATTATAAACAGTGTGAGTGGTATTAAATAATGCAATAATAGAATGGATATTAATAAAGAGATTTGTAATGACACTGTACCTGATTTTTACTGTCTTAAAAAACGGAACTAACTAATTTTTAAATGATTGGTAGCGGTCCAAAGGGATTACTCACTTTATGCATTTTGAGCATCCAAATTATTCTCTGAAATTACTTTGTAAGCGTTTTTCACAACTTTCACAGGCCAATGGGTGTTGCTGTCAAGATAATGCTCACATAAACTAGCATGCTAACTGCACACTTGCTGAATATCTGACAATAACATGCTCTATGTTTACACAGTACACAGTGGACCTACTCAACCTCAAAAACTGCTTATATAAAATATCTGTACTGGGACACTTGCATGGGAAAAAATCAGGTACAGACCTTTTACTACTAGACTTTGCAATGGGAATCACAATGTAGTTTTTGGTGCCAATTCTGAATACTAAATGAGGTGTGGTATCAAGAAAGTTACATCCTTATATCAACCACACATGAAATCACTGCACAAATGATTTGTTGTGGCATCCGCTGACGTACAAATGGAAGAAAAAGAGATTCTCATAGCCTCTGATATCCAATATTACTGTTCTGTTAGTCATTTGTGCACAAAATGAGTTGCATGGAAACTCGGGCAAATTGAAAAGTCGTGATTTATCTTCCCCAAAACGCTGTGCAAGTCTGTTATTTGTGCAGACATGTTTTCAAAGAGCTTATATCCAATTGTGTGTCTTAATTAGAACGCTCTTGTATTTCCATCAGCCACGACAAAAACAAATCTGAACAGAAGGCGAGAGTTCCATCGCGCACTACACATGAGACAGTGGTTTTAAAATAGCGGGAGGGCTGGGCTTCCACTGGCTCTCAGTGTCGCACTAGCACTTTGAGGCAAAATGTAAAAAGCTCCTAGCAAAGGTCAACTCTGCCCGAGAATCGATTTGTTGTTAAATTACAATTTGAACCAAATCAAGAGTAATGAGTCTAAGTGAGGGCCTATCTCAGTGCAAACCGAATGCATCTATCCAACATTACTCGCCATTGGCTCATTATCAGGCAGCAGAGACACAGGGAGGAAGCTGCAGCGTGACCAGACACTCAAATGGAAATTGATACTGCGATACTGCACAATTTCAAGTCCAGGAGCGGCCAACACTGTCAGAAATCTGCGGGACACTTTAGGGAGCTGACATCTTTTGTGTGGGATGTCATTATTGAAAGCACAAAAGGAGAAAAGTGTCTGACAACTTGAGCAGGATTTTACACTCCCACAGGCTCTGAGCGTCTATGAAGGAGCGGGCGTCCCATATGAGCAAAGGAAACATATGACGAGTGACAACTGGCCATTTTGAATAGTGGAAATGAATGGCGGAAGGGTTGTATCTTAGACCAATCTCGGTGGCTACAATAACATCAGTAGTTTTTTTTTTTTTTTTTTTTAAGTATTTTTGATCAGTTAATTTAGAGCAATACATATAAAGTATTTGGTCTAAAGAGTGCAGATCTGTTCCTCAAAAACAAGTTATTAATTTAACTTAGAACATGTAAATCTATGCCAAGCA